TTTACACACACACACAGCCATAAGCACACACGTCCTGCGCCGCATGTGTAACTTTTTCTTTCAATCATAAAATCAGAACTTTCTACCCTTTATGGCATAATCAGTGCACACACACTCATACACATGAGGGATACAGAAATGGGTTGTGCCGCGGGCTGCAATTGTCTTGTCTTTTATAGTTCCGCCAGTTGCCACAGCACTCACTAGAGATGCGAAGCGGACACAAAAAAGTACTTTACCCCACGAAAAGTTTACCATTTCACAGGAAATCGATGAGGGTTAAGGGAAATATATTTTCAGAATATATCTTACTTTTGAATTTATCTAAATTTTTAATTTAAATCAGCATTATCTTAACTCACACTGGCACCTTTCCGTATACATTTACGACTTTTGTAACGATGCCATCTGGAAGAGCATTGCGTCCTAAGGCCAACTCCAACTGCCATTTAATTTGGCACTTAAGCCCCGGGCTGGGACTGATTTTTATTATAAAAGGGTTGCCCTGTAGATCCCGTGATGACCTCGTAAAGCGACTCGGGGCGGCGGCATTAAATGGTATATAGTTTTATTGCTAATTCGATGCTAACCAAAGATATTGTCATAGATTTTGTGCCAGATACTGCTCCGCCGGAACATGGCGCTCACGTTGTCCTCCTGCACGAAGAGCTGGTACCGCTTAAGGGTGTGCGGGTCGGTGGGTCCCCAGTTGGGCAGTGGCTCAAAGGCTTTGCGGATGCGTCCCCAGAAGCCCAGGCTGGCGGGTTGCTTTCGAATGGCGGGAATGGCCCAGAAGAACACCTGGCCCACGCCGAAGGCGCTGAGGCACCAGCCGAACACTAAAAGGGATTTCTATTAGCCAGGACGTCCGATTTGAGGGGGGTTAATCCTCGGCTTACCGTACACGCCCGACTGGTAGGTGTAGTCCTTGTACTGCAGCGGCTTGTACAACGCCAGCATGTAGATGAGAATGGTGAGCATCATGAGCGGCGTCACCACTGCCCAGCAGATGCGGTAATACAGCGAGGTCTTGATGCCCAGCATGAACTGGACATCGCGACAGAGTCGCTTCACCCCGTAGATCCAGGCAATGGTCACCAGCTCGAAGATGGCCAGGACCAGGGCCACAAAAGTGGCTCCATAGAAGTCTAACAGATTGAGCACGAACTGGCCGCCGGGTGTGATGTATAGCAGGCCCAGCAGATAGCCCACAATGGCTATGCCAACCACAATCATCCAGTTCTTGAGGTTAACAAATTGATCCTTGATCACCGTGGACAGGCAGGAGGCCATGCCCACATTGCTGCCGATACCCAGGACGAAGAGCATGAGGAAGAAGAGCACTGAGAAGAGCTGCGGCAGCACCTTAAACTTGGCTATAGCATCGGGGTACGAGATGAAGGCCAGGCCTGGTCCGCCATTAACCACACTCGCAATGTCCTTGGTGTTGTTCTCGTAGGCCAGGTTACCCAGGATCCCGAAGATAATCACGCCGGACAGGAGCGACGTGAAAGTGTCCAGTGTGGTCACAATGTTCGCATCCCTGCGGAACCAAGTGATAAGTTAATGGCCTAAAGCCGCCCGTCCGTGTATCCACTCACCTGTAAATGTTGTGGCCGAAGCGGTTGTACGAGGCATACATGATGATGTTCCCGAAGCAGATGGCCAGCGAGAAGAAGACCTGGGTGACGGCTGCATACCAGACCTGGGGCTCCAGCAGCTTGTGCCACTGCGGCCGGAGGAAGTAGAGCACGCCGTCGAAGGCCCCGGGCAGGCTGAGGGCCCGCACCAGCAATATGAACATGACCACGTACGGGAAGAGGGCCAGGAAGTAGGAGGCCTTGCCGGAACTCTTCACCCCCTTGAACATGATGCCGGCTATGATGACCCAGGCGATGGCCAGCGTCAGCGCCAGGCTCCAGCTGGGATACCCGATGCCGTCGTCGATGCTCGTTTTCTCGCGCAGAATAATGTGCCTGCGGGATGAAGAAGGTGATGAATGGTCCAAACGGATAGGGACACCTGCTGGCCGGCCACTCACGTGAAGTAAAACTCCGCCGAGGTGGTTCGCACTCCCGTACTGTTGGCCAGACTGGTGCCACTCGCTTCCTGCGGCGCCGAATCCAGACAATCGGGGCCCCACTCGGCGCGGCAATAGCTCCATGGCAGCGTCGGGTAGAAGGAGTCCACGAAGTAGCGCAGGGTCAGGGCCATTAGCGTGGCATAGTAGGTGGTCACGATGCCGGTGGCCAGGACCTGGCCATAGCCAATGCCTGTGGAAGAGAGCCGATAAGAGTTATCCCCTGATTTAGCACTAAGAAACATGTGGACCCAACTCACCCCTCATGATGGGCGCAAAATCGTACACCTTCACACTGCCCCGACTGGAGAACTGGCCCAGCAGCATTTCCAGGTAGTACACTGGCTTACCCACCAGCACCAGGACGATCAGGTAGGGAATGACAAAGGCGCCGCCGCCATTTTCCAGAGCGGTGAAGGGAAATCTCCAGACGTTGCCCAGACCCACGCTCAGTGCGATGCAGGACATAAGGAATTCGATATCGTTGTTCCAACTGGCTCGCTGTTTACCCGGCTCCCCCGCCTCCGCTCCGGGCTGATTGTCTCCAGGTCCTGAAGGTGTTCCGGCTGCTCCAGCTCCTGCCGCCTCCTGCTGCTTCTGATTGCCGCTGCCATTGGCAGCATTCGTGGGCTTATATGCACCCGGTATGGATATGGTTGAGGAATTCAGTGAACCGACAAAGGCCGGATTCATGTAGCCGCTGTTGTTATTATTGTTGCTATTTTCTGTGGCGGTGCTGTCCATGGTTACAGCTGCAAATCAATCAGAAATGTGGTTGCTATAGCCTTCAACTTAATTCGCCGCAACTTGAAGTTGCTTCCCCTTGCTGGTGGTCAAGATTCGAGGCCCCGCCAAACAACAACAACACCCCGATTATGGTCATTAATGGACTCGGCTCAGTGGGACAAAGACAAGGCGCTGGGCAAGTCACTGACCCACTGACTTAGACGATTACGCATTACATAACAACGGAGAGGTGCCGGCGCCGCCTCAATGCAGTGGAAACTGCATCAAACTGGTAAATGCAGCAGGCAAAAATCTGTGGCAATTTGGCTGCCAAGCCTCAGGGCAAAACCAGTTTCCTGGCCTTTTCAGGGAAAGGTCTCCAAGCGTGTGGCAAGCGGGGTTTTTTGTTTTGCTTTGCCATTTCGGCTCCCCATTCATGACAACACTTTGGCTTTCGTGTTTATTTATTTTGCAGCCGATACCGGGGGACAGCAAACTTTCCTGATATCTCAAATTTCACACTGATTTATTACCAGCTCCGGCAGCTGAGGAATTTCTCATAGATAACTCTCCCCTTGTCTGGAGATTACCATATAAGCAAGAGAAAATATTTTACTATCAAATATGAAGTGGCTTACATAGAACCTCCTAATGGGGCTTAAATTGTTCAATGATTTTTGAAAGTGCTATATAGAAAGTGTAGTATTTTCTCGCTTTAGTAATACAGACCTCTTCCTGATTAAAAACCAGTCCATAAACCAAGACATTGGCCTTGTCAACTTAGAAAAAAACGTAAAAACAGGTTGATTGTTTATGGACAGGCTGTTACAGGCGGCAGTCATAATCGATTGATATGGTTACTATAAGTGAGTCAAATAAGAAAAGTTACAGCATTTTGTATAGAGAAAAGATTAGAGAAGACTTGAGGGATAATATGCCTCAACTTGTTTGTGCTAACAAAGAAGAAATACTGCAATCAAGTACCCATTTAAAGCTAAGGGTATTCACCCATCGACTTCCTTTGTTTGTTTACTTTTCAGATGACTATAGGTCGTGTCTGTTGCGCATGCGCAGCTGCTCCGCCGATTGTTCTCGTTGTTGCCATGGAAAGTGAAGGCGAAACTCCAGTACTTTGCTGTTGCAACTTAAAAATGTCAGCAGACAGACTGCAATTACTCGCCAGCTTGGCCCAAACAAAACAAAGCGTGAAGTTTGCTCTACACAAAACTAGATAGCAACACCACACGGCACGCCGCTTTCGGTGTTGGTGCCGGGGTATTGCGATAAAGCCCGCCACCCCACACGTTCTAAATGAGTTTTTATTATTTTATATTGGCAAGAGTCAATTATTTAATTGCCGCCTGGCACTTGCAGATCTCTTTGTTACCCTTTATGTTTGAAATTCGAAATTAATGCACAAGAAAGAGTGACTGCCTGATAGGAACTCTATTCTGGCGGGAAAGTATTCTTTTTTGAGCACTTCCCCAACTTATCTTGTATTGTATATTATGACCCGTCTGATACAAAGCTGTATTTTAATTAAGTTATGGTGTGAGTATCTCCTTGGGATAACTTCCTCACTTATCTGGCACTTGCGTATCGTATAGTATGCAGACATGCCATTCCAGAATCTTTATGGTATCAATAAAGATATAGTCAAAGCAGTTTCACAACGAATTGAGTTGGGGCGCCCCGGGTGAATTGAGAAACCTATCATCTGTACATCACTTTTCATTGGACTGACAGCTTTATTGGTTTTCTGTCTCTTACCTCAACAGGTTTCATTGAAAAAAAAAGAAAAAAACATAGTTTGTGGGAGAGTTTTTGCTACGTTTGGCTACGTCACCAGTAACAATGGGTTTATGAATTATATGGCATTATTAACTATATGGCGCTCGATCATAATCATATCTAAAGTTTAATCATTGTCCACGCGACGCTTGAGATAGGCCCAGGTTCTTGTGGTTTTATTACCCAAAGGATCTCTGCAGCTGGCTCTTAAAAATTATGTAGGTTAGCAAACTTATTTTATTACTTTTTTTTCCCCTTTCCGCCGGTTTATAATATCTTTTATGAGTTGGCTCAGTCGTGTGTTCTCAGCTGTTGTGGGTGCCTTAGCATTGTTGGTTTCACTGTCTCAAGGCACTAATTATGTTTTATTTTATAAAAATTTGATGTTTTATCTATTTTGTAGTTACGTTACGACCGTAAGCAATTGAGTTCCGTGGAAGTAACCAAGCGAACCGCTCACCGCAAGCGCCAAAAGCTCACTGAACGGGCTGGGTTTGCCCAGCAGCGTCTCTGGCGATCGTTTTGGGAATAAAAACAAAGCAAGAAATAAGTTGGAAACCACAACAAAATAAAAAAAAAATAACGCAACAAAAAATACGAACGAGTCAGAAGGTGTTTTTTGGGGAAGTTACCGCCTAGACTTGACATAAGCCAAGGTAAGTGAAATTATGAAAATTAAGTGATTATAAATTACGAGAGCGTCGAACTTGGGTATGTGCCGTTTCTTGTTTGTAACACCTGTAATAGAGGACGTGCTTTCAGAAGTGTCAGTGACATAAGTCTTATTTTGTTTGGTAATGATTGAACTTAGTAAACATTTACTTTGTTTCTTGGAATTTTGTAGAAAGGTGTGCGTTACGTTGTATATTGGTTTCAAAGGGTAATATATTCTAAATAAATAAATCTAAATAAATAACTAAAATAAAAGAAAACATTTAATTTTAAGTGATATTATGCTAAATTAGTTGCTAATTATTATTATAAAAAATAATTAAATATTATTAAAATAAAAACTGATTTTCTTTAAATATTTTAAGAATTCTCTGCTACAATATTTACTAATTATTATTATTAAAAAAAATAAAATATTTTTCAAATTAAAAGGGATTATTCATTTAACATTTAAAGTATTTTCTAAATACGATCGGCATGATATAAACAATTTAAATTAAATTATTCTTGTAATATTTACAGAATTCTCTAAATTCTCTACTAAATTATTTGCAAATTATTATTGATAAAAATATTTAATAGCTTTCAGATTAAAATAATTACTTCCTGTAACATTAAATTATTTCTGTAAAATTTTTAAATTTTCTACTAAATTATTTTTGTTAAATTAATATTATTATTAATAAAATATAAAAATATTTTTCAAATTTAAAGGGATTATTCGTGTAATATTTAAAAAATTCTTTATTCCTATAATAATATTCCTATTTCTATTATGCTTATTCCTATAATATTTAAAGAATTCTCGAAATTCCCTTCTAAATCCTATTATTAAAAACTTTAAAAGTAAATTCAAATTAATATTTAAAGAAATTTCTTAATACACATAGTATGATTTCTTAAATATTTTAAATTATTATAAATGCTTATTTTTCTCCAAAAGCTTTTTAAACTTAAAAAAATATTTTAAAGTATTAATAATAATAATACTAATCCTTCTCCATTTAGTTCTGTCCAAAATACCTTACCCTACCATAGGTTCTCATAGTGAGCTAAAATAATAGTTATCTTGAATCAGCTGGTCTTGCTTCACCCTTGGGTACCAATATTGGCTTTAATCTCGTTATAATGGCCACACGCTACACCTAGTTATCTCTCACCTTTGATTTCCACTATACGCAACCTATTAGTTAACAATCGCCCTTATTTTGGTGATCTAAAAATAGACTGATTTTCCTCGAAATCGGATGGCAGTTTTTTAACTGGAAAGCATTAATAAATGTTTTATAATTGCCCCTGAGATAGATTAACAAATGATTAAAGCCAGACTGTGTTTACTCATAACATCGGTTAATTGTTATTGTTAACAAATAACCAATAAGGTGGTAAGTTTATGATATGGCTGGAAATACCCGAATTTGATAAGGAAGCTTCATAAATTTATTATTTCGATACGGTAGTTGCCTAATTGCAGTTTCTGGTGAAAAATGCGGCCAAGTTAGTGGCATCCACATGGACACCGCACTGCATTTGGGCCATGAAGGTAATAGCGAGTGTTTTCTGGCCATGTTGTGTGTGTGCTGTGTTATGCTGTGAGTTAGAGCAAACATTTTAATTGGATGCAAATTTTCGACACTTGGCTGCTGCGGTTCGTTTGCAAATGCGGCTTATTTTTTGAAGAGAAACAGAGACAGAGTGAGGGAAACTGTTGCTGTATGGTTCTCCCTGGCATTATCACGCAAAATTGACCGCAACAAATTTGCAGCCCTATTTCCATGTGAGCAAAGTTGCGTTTTTGGTGTATTGATCACAACAATTCAATTAAAATCTCAACGATGTCCGGGACAAGTGCTGCAAAAGCGCCCTAAATCGCATTCCAGCAAACGAATTACAGTAATGACATTTATTTTTACTTTTCAATTAAGAGCTCTTCCATGGCCATGGGATAGGAGAGCGGCGACCACCCGCAGAAATTAAATCCTTTTGCCATTTAAAATGTAATTAATTTTTAATGCACGCTTATGGCATGACGTTGACGGGTTTAATCTGTCTGTTTATGGATGAATATGCCCTGGTCCGATTATGGACTTTGCATGTGTTTCTGTGGCTTATTTATTGGCCAGTCGCTGGGTAATTGTTCGGATAAAAGACTTAGCAACAATGTTTCGCAATGCTCTGATATGCAGTTAATTCGATTAATAAAAGCTAATGAGGGTGTGCCTGTAATTGTAATTTAAATAAAACAATCGCCTTAATGCCCGTATATTATTGTTTTTATTTTTTAACGCTAGTTGTAGTTACTTTTTCCAGATATATTCCTTTGTTCGTGGCTTAATTATCCTCTGCAATTGGAGTCTGTTGCCTGGTTTTGGGCTCTTTTATTTGCTCATTTAATTAGCCATTCCGGTTGGTCATTCCATTTAATTTCGGCTGTCTGCTGCCGGGGCTGAATTCATCAACAATTACATGAATTATCGCTAGAACTTCACTAATTCACCGGACTAATTTGGTATTTTAATGAGGCCCAGCCGCAGGCAAAATGAGAGAGCAGCAGCGAACTGTGAATTTATGGCCAGCGAGCATTTCGGATTCGGAGTTGACAAAAAGTAAAAGCCACTTACAAATTTTCCCAGTCATTTATCAAGCGTTAGGAGGGCATAAATCTCGTCTAAGCAAATAGCAGTGACAACACAACAACCAGCCAGCCAGTCAGTCGGTCTGAGTGTGCCTTCTCAGCCTTAGCCTGAGCCTGAGGTAAGCGGTACTAGTCTTGGTCTTGGCCAAAAGTCAAATCCAGGCCGTGGCCATAATGTTCCGCGGCACGCAATTGTCTTTAATGCACAGGAAGAAAAGGGAATTGAAAAGGGAAGAAAATCTAACTTAAACTTTCTAATATTTCCAAACCCATTCTTGGTTTAAATATAAACCTAAAATCTTTAATATTTTCATTGGAAATTGTTATTGATAAATAATTCGAATAATTTAAATATCTCTGGAGACCTAAGTTGTTTCTTTTTTATTTGTATTTTATTTATTTATTTTTTATTTTATGACCACAAGCTTTCTTAAACTCTTTATAATTTCTTACAGTGTATATGCATAGAAGTCGGCAGAAGGTGGCATTAAATTTTATGGCATTCGACTGTTGGACATTAAAAACAAAGGACAACAAATGTCGCGCCAAGGAGGGACTACTACAATGAGACAGGTTAACGTGGCTGTTTTAGCGGCAAGTGGCATATGGCACGTGGCAGGTTGGCAGCCTGGCAGCCTGATTTATGCAGTCGAGTGAGATGAAAAATTGATGATTTAAGTCCAACCTCGACCCGGAAGGTGAATGCCTCCTTGGGGTGCCATTGCCAGTCTCCGGGTGTGAAGTGTGCAAGCGTGATTCCGGCTTAACTGTGGCCTAACTTGATTTGATCCTTATCCCGGTGTTTACTTAATTAAAATTCCAGCAACTATCGGTGCAAAAGGCCCTAATTGAATCAAAGCTGCAGCAACTTTTACATCGAGATGTTGCCGAATTAGTTGAGAGCTTGCGAGATGTGCTATATGTACATATGTGGCAATTATCCGGCTTACCTTTACGACTCTGGCCTGGCTGCTGCTCTAAAGTAATTGGAATGAAATGTAATTTAGTTGACATTTGCAATTTTCCGGCGAGCAGTATCTTTAGAATAAGCAAAAGAGTTTTTGAGGTTGGCTGCATTCCAGCCAAGGGAAAATTCCTTGTAATCTTGATGCTGCTGCTGCTGCTGCTGGTGGTGGCGCACACGAAATGCCACAAGTGTCAGGCACTCCATTGTAGCATACTTTCGGGCGGCGCCATTTGAATAGAAACCACATTAATCATACGCCCCGCAAGCCCTGTTCCGTGAAAATAAAAACTAATTGAGCTGTGACCGCAGCGGATGTCGCTGCAGCTCTCAGCTCTCGCTTGGCTCCTTCACACTTTGCTTGTCCTTTTTGTGCACTCACTTGGCATATCACGCATACGTCACATTGTCCACATATCAGCGTTGCAGTATATTAAGTCATTCTGTCGTGTGGGTAGTGTGTGTGTGTGTATGTGTGTATGCTTATGTATTTACATGTCTAAGAGCTTGTTAAAGTCACGTTTCTGGCAAATTCTATTATATTGTAAAGCATTTTCCGTATTTTGCGGCAAGTGCCAAGCGGCAGCTGCCATCTGGCAGTTCGCTGCATGCCATAAAAATGTCTACGGCACACGCAACTTGACTCGGGCACTAGGGTTAGGACTTGGGTTCAGTGTTGGGTGGGGGTATCACAGAACGTACTACGAGTCGAGTCCCGTCGCTCCGGTCGGAGCGCATTTCGTGCGTATGGAAAAAAGCGGTAGGAGAAGGACGAAGGCCGGAGGTTGGATGGGCAACAAAAATCTGCAATTCATGCAATTTTCATGGAAAATTTGCCGCGCCAAAAGAACAGAGCAAACACACATCCACTGGCACTCGCCCATATGAAGGACATCGTCTAAGAGCACATAGTATGCATATGTGTGTGTATTAGGATCTGTGCTTTGAATGTCAAAATATTTGTGTGTTTGGCATTTCAAGCGTTAAATTTTTGCTGTCAACGCTCATCCCAGAAAACTCTATCTCCAACAGAGGCAGATAGATATTTTTGAGGTTCTTCTGCCTTTGCCTCTGTCTCTGTCGAGCAAATCCACCGCCGGAATCCAAATTAATTTGCCTAGCACGTGGGCCTCAGTGATTATGTCTCAGTGGATGCGTGTTTTTGTTTGCATTTGTCTTAAGTGCTAAAGTCCTTGGCTTGATGCTTTCGAGATTACGGCTTACGTGAGCCCATCGTCTGGGAGTTGGGCGTTGGTATGTACGGCTCTCGGGGGACACTTGATATGACATTTAAGAAATATCCTTAATAAATTGTGGCAATTATTCTCCGGCTGCTTAAGCAATTGAGCATTTTTCGGTACTCGGCACTTGGCAACTTGAGATTT